GAAAAGTACTTTATTCTTTCAAGATAATTTAAATATATCAAAAATCATTCAATAAATATGAAAACTCATCCAAAAAATCATTATATATTACTTAATAATTTAAACTAAGTAAGGTTATCTTGGTATATATAATATTTGCTAAGGATATTTTTGATAGAAAGAAAAGTCAAAACTGTTTCTACTTCTTCTTCTAGGGAGAAACTACTTTTTCTGCTTCTTAAAAACTGCTTCTACTTCGAGTCAAAAACACTTTTATTTCCGAAAAAACTTGGCCAAATACTTCAAATTAAGAAAAAAAAATATTTTTTTGATTGGAAAAAGCTTGGTCAAACATGCTATTAATTCCGTTTTTCCATTTGTTATTTTAGTAAGTACTATACATATCTCCCCCTCTCCCCCCTGCCCTACTCCCTCCCTCATTCCGTTAATTCAGAAAATCCCTATAATATATAATATGGATCCCGATAAACATCCAAATCCGGACGTACCAACGAATCAAAACCCAATGAGAAGAAGTCTTTGGAAGGAAAGGGGAAGTCAAAGTAAACTGTCCTCCTTCTCTCTCTCTTTGTCCGTCTCTTTTTAAGATCATTGTTGAATTTTCTATTTCAGGTAAATTTCTTAGGATTCATTTTTGTGCATATCTGATTATATAACTTTTGTGAGTCTTTGTATTTATGTGTGATTTCAGCTTCTGCTTCAAGTTTGAGAGTAAAAGATTATGTTTTTAACGACTTTGATGTTAATGGGTTTTTGGGAAATTTGACAAGTTTTTGACTTTTCTCATTTTCTGCAGTTTATTGTTTTGACTGTGATTAGTTGTGAACACAGGAAAATTGGGTTTGAAATTTCTGAGGTTTAGTGGGAAAAAAGCTGTTTTTTGGAAGTCAAGTTGATTGAAAAAAAGAGAAAAAACTGGGAATCTTCTATTGAGTATTGGAATGGAGGGGTCTAATTGGAGTGGAATTATTATGAAGATTCATATGACGGACTCCGACATGTTCAGGATTGAGGCGTAGTTGTTGTTGTTGTATTATATGAGGATTTTTTTAGCTTTGAGATTATGGGGTTATATGTGAGTTGACTTGTTTTAGGAAAGATTTAGATTGGAAATCAAGTTGATTGCAATTTTTTTGAGCTTTTGGAAATCTTGGTGTTCATTAAAGACAAATTATTGAGTATCGGAATGAAACAGGTCCAATTAGAGAAGAATGATTTTTGAGGATTCATATAACTGAACCCGACTTGCTTTGGATTGAGGCGTAGTTGTTGTTGTTGTTGATGATGTATTACAGAGGAGTTTGAGCTTTGAGATTATGGGGTTATATGTGAGTTGACTTGTTTAAATTGTGGTTAAAGAAAGAAGCTTCGGTATATATTATTGCTTAGTTACATCTGCAGCGGAGGAAATTTGAGATTGATGGTTAGTCATTGAAGTTTCATTGAGTAACAAATAGAAAAAATAGTCTTGAAACTTGGATTCGCGTGAAGTATGATCAGGCCGGAGCTGGGAATTGAATTGGAAAAGTAAATTTGCAAAGAATTTGTATGATCAGGTGGGAGTTGCTTTAGTTGAATTTATCAAAGGAAATCAAGATCTTAACAAATTTTGTCTGGTTTGTACGCATACGCTGGGAATCTAATAAAGTTGATCTTCGTTGTCTGCTGGGATTTCTCCCTTCTAGTTGAGCTTTGCATTGTGATTTGGATTTGATTCTAAAAATGGATGAAGCTCCTTGTAGTGCCAATGCACTGCCTCCGTTTATTGCAAAGACATACGAAATGGTAGATGATCCCTCCACAGATCCAATAGTCTCCTGGAGTTCGAATAATAAAAGTTTCATTGTTTGGAATCCTCCTGATTTTGCAAGAGAATTGTTGCCTAGATACTTCAAACACAATAACTTTTCCAGCTTTATCCGACAGCTAAACACTTATGTAAGAAATCCGTTTTACTTATTCATTTGCAGCGATATTACTTTTCAATTGAGATTCAATCTTTTATGGGATCATTACATTTTTGGGCAGCTTTAAAAAATAATAGCCAGCAAGTGTATACGTTTTGCGTATTAAGTATAAATATATGTATAACATACATGAATATGCATATAATATACATATTATTACATAATCGGTGTATATGTTTTATATATATGGGCTAGCACCCATAATTATTTTCGGCCGACGGGCTAAAAAGGAAAAAGGACCTTCTATTGTATTTTTCTTATTCTCCTATCTTTTGCCTCTCTTGTCAAACTAGGGATTCAGGAAAGTAGATCCTGAACAATGGGAATTTGCGAATGAGGATTTTATTAGAGGTGAGCCACATCTTTTGAAGAATATCCATAGACGGAAACCCGTTCACAGTCATTCTGTACAGAATCTTCATAGCGTTTCATCTGCATTGACTGAATCAGAAAGACAAGGGTATAAGGAAGATATTGAGAAGTTGAAGCATGAAAACGAATCGCTTCATTTAGAATTACAAGGACATAAACAGGATTATCAAGGACTTGAAATGCAAATGCAGGTTTTTACCGAACGTGTCCAACAAGTGAAACACCGACAAAAGAACATGCTATCTACTTTAGCTCAAGCCATAAATAAACCAGGACTGGGTTTGAGTCTCATGCCGCAGCTCGAAATGAATGAAAGAAAGAGACGGTTGCCGGGAAACAACTTTCTTTATAATGAAACTGGCCTTGAAGATAATCAAGCGAGTTCTTCTCCTCAAGATTCGACTAGGGAAAGTATGGATGCGACTTCTCATTTGACTCTCAACAAGGAACTTTTAGATCAGTTGGAATCTTCTTTGACCTTCTGGGAGAATATACTACATGACGTTGATCAAAATGGGATGAGACGGAGCTCTTCAGTGGACTTAGATGCATCTATTAGTTGCGCCGACAGCCCTACTATATCTTATTCACAACTAAATGTCGATATTGGGTCTAACATTTCTGGTATCGACATGAATTCTGAGCCTAACAGAATCACTGTTCCTGAAGTTGCCCTACAAGAAGATCAAGTGGTAGTAATAGGAACTGCTACTAACCGTCCAACAGGAGTAAATGATGTATTCTGGGAACAATTCCTAACCGAGAACCCTGGTTCGACTGAATCTGATGTAAAGCCAGAACGGGAAGATTTTGATAGCCAAAAAAGTGAATCCAAAACAGTTGAGCACGGGAAATCTTGGTGGAAAATGAAGAGTGTAAATAGCCTTACAGAACAGTTGGGACATCTTACTCCAGCGGAGCGAACGTAATGTGGTAGGTTATGTGCTATTTTGGATATAGTAAATGTTTTCTGAATGTTTTTTTTGCCTCTGGCTTGTTGTAAATCTGGAGAAAGTGATCTATCAGAGAGTAGATAGAATTTTGGTATATTAACCTTCTTTTGTTTTTACCCTTGTTGGACATGGCGTGATATAGAGAATGATAAAATTTTGGTATATTAACACTATATACTTCTGAATCTTGTGCAAGCTTAAGCGATTCATATTTGGTTTTACTGGTCATGTTATGAGATGCAGAAGAATGATTTGTTTTTCAATCTAAATTCCGTTCATGTTGTTAGTATTATCCTCAATCAAGTAATGGATTTAAACTGTTTATATTGCTAACCGGTAGATATAGCTTATGTATACACGCCCAAACACACGACAACTTCTAATACATAGCATTCCATTTTGGTGGTAACTTTGTAGTTTAAGAAACTTGTGGTTCTGTTTAAGAATGATGAGAGTTTTGCCTCTATCCCTCAAAGACGATTTCGTCATGATATTTTTTCTGCTAGCTCATAGAAACAGAAGGAAGAGGAGCTTGGAGCAACGGTAAAGTTGTCTCCGTTTGTCCTATAGGTCACGGGTTCGAGCCGTGGAATCAACCACTGATGCTTGTATCAGGGTAGACTGCCTACATCACAAACCCTTGAGGTGCGGCCCTTCTCCGGACCCTGCATAAACGCGGGATACTTCGTGCATCGGGCTGTCCTTTTTTTCTTAGAAACAGAAGAAATTATGTGAGCAGGGGAGTCGACTACTGAAATTATGTGTGAGTGTGAATGCAGTAACTTTTTCTTTTGGGGGTTT